AAGCCATGGTATTCCCTGTAGTCACCTACGGATGTGAGAGCTGGACCTTAGGGAAGGCTGAGCGAAGGAAGATCGATGCTTTTGAGCTGTGGTGTTGGAGGAAAGTTCTGAGAGTGCCTTGGACTGCGAGAAGATCCAACCAGTCCATCCTCCAGGAAAAGCCCGGCTGCTCACTGGAAGGAAGGATACTAGAGACAAAGTTGAAGTACTTTGGCCACATCATGAGGAGACAGCAAAGCCTAGAGAAGACAATTATGCTGGGGAAAGTGGAAGGCAAAAGGAAGAGGGCTGACCAAGGGCAAGATGGATGGATGGCATCCTTGAAGTGACTGGACTGACCTTGAAGGAGCTGGGGGTGGTGACGGCCGACAGGGAGCTCTGGCGTGGGCTGGTCCATGAGGTCACGAAGAGTCGGAGACAACTGAACGAATGAACAACAAGGAAAGGAATGTCTAAGAGGCCTCTGGCATTTCAAAAGGCTGACAAGGTACCAGGCACCTTATCGTAGGACTAATGAGGTGTCCATTAAGAGGTTTCAGGAAGACCTTATCTTAGGATGGATGGAGACTCTTGCTATCAGCTCCGGAAGACATGCTGGCGGATGGTCCTCATTAATAGCAACTCTTCAGATAGGGATGCTAATGAAGATTGACAAGGTGTTGAGTTTGAAATAATGCTATTGAAGTCAATGTAAAAGTAGAATTTTGTGACGCACATTGTGATGCCTATATGATGCATGCATAATTATTTCAAAAGGTATATAAACCAAGCCTTTTCTTTGTTCTGAACCCTTCTTTCCTGGCTTACCAGGAGGGTCCATATCCGGTTGGCGCCAACTGAGAATAAAGCATGCTTTCCAGTTCTCATGATCTCTCTTTGTCTCTTTTCCTCAAACCTTCTCCCTGCCATTTCAACAACTCTGTTTCTGTATAAAAAAGGGCTTTTATTTGTGTACATGTTATGCTTTGCTTGGCGAATTATTGCAGCTTTGCATCCTTTCCAGCTGGATCGCAATAAAATCATCTCGGTGGCGCTTCCTTCAACTTTCGTGAGATTTCTTTTGGGAACTTAGGAAAATCTTTTAAACTGCGGCTTCTCTTTGCTCACCATTGTAGCGAGCCCTCTTTGGTGGGTCCGCAGGGTCTCTCCTACAGGGTCAGGCCCTTTTAAATTCCCCCTTGATTTCAAGATGAGCACCAACCCCCAGAGTCGGACACGACTGGACTTAATGTCAGGGGAAAACTTTTACCTTTACCTATGATATTTTGATATATATTTATTAGGGCTGGGCGGTTTCGTTCGTTAATTTCGTAATTCGTAATTAATTCGTATTTAAAGTAGCTTACGATCCGATATTGAACCATTCAGGATCAACTAAAAATAGAAAGGAATTTTTCAATTCATTTCGTAATTGTTTCGAAATCGTTTTGAAATAGTTTCGAAATCGTTTTGAAATTGTTTCGTTATTATTTCCGTATGTCTGGTGCAAGTTTTATAGTTGTTGTTTGTTTTATCAGTGATAAAAAATAAATTATCACACCAACAGTCAACAACAGAGGAAGAGGGAAGCTTCAGAAGTTCCCCCTGTACCATTTGGAGGTTTTTTTTAGCATATTGCGCAATCGCATCCGCCATTAACGAATCGATTCGTAATTGTTTCGTAATTGTTTCGTAATTTCCGAAATTTCGTATATATCGAACTTTTTTAAAGAAAAATTTCGGAATTCTTTTAAAAAACGAAACGCAAAAACCCCCTAAAAACGAATTGAGTTTAGAAACATTTTTTTCCGTGGTTGCCCAGCCCTAATTTATATATTTAAGAAGGTATTTGGTTGGTCCTGTTTTGTCCAGACGATCGTGACATGCAAAAACCTGCATTTGGGAAAAAGATTCCCAAAAGATTGTTTTGTTTCTTTACACTTTGCCAGCCTACGTTTGCATTCCCCAAATGAAGTCTCCGTTCTCCTCCGAACGGATCCTCTTACGCTGAGGCTATTCTTAGGACCAGCGGGAAAGGACTTGCAAGAGAAAGGAAAGGCAGAAAGCACCTCAAGTTCAGGTATCAAGGCCTAGTCTGCAGGTTTATTTTTTTTAAGGCGAGCTAAAGTTAAGAAGTTGAGAAAATACAGGATGTATAATGCTCAACATCTATCATTGTTTGAAAAAGAATGTTAGAAAATATATATATAATATTTTAATGCATGGTGGTGCAGTGGGTTAAACTGCTGAGCTGTTCGACTTGTTGACCGAAAGTGTCATATTATGAGAATAACATATTATGAGAATGACCGTTCTGTGATCATGGTGCACAGAGCGTTCCTTACACGCTTCGCGTTCAATCGAAATGCATCTGTACCAGATTAGATCCACACTGAAAAGAAAATCATCTGGCAGTCCTACGACTGTTCGAACACTACGAAATGTGGAAGTTGCATGTCTTGCCATCTTGCAAATGTTAAAGCCCTGTCATAGCAAGCTGTATTCCACACTGGAGCTCCTTGGTACCTTCAATTCATTTACATAATACAATCCAAAGATGAGGAGTCTACAGGATAAAACTACTGTACTTCAGGCGTAAGCGGCAAGACATGCAGCAAAACACTAACAAAGCCAGCGGACCTGATGGGATCCCTATTGAAATCTTCAAAGAGGGTGGACCTGAGCTGACACAACTACTCCACCAGAATCCCACCAAGTCTGAGGGTGCAATATTTTGAAAAGCCTTTCCCAATTGGGCCCTCCGGATGTTTTGGACTTCAACTCCAATCATTCCTAACAGCCTTAGGCCCTTCCTTTTCCTCCTCAGCCGCTTAAGTGACCCATTTAAGGTCGAATCAGGTGTTCAACAGGGATGTGTTATCACCCCAACCTTATTTTCCATCTTCATCGCTATGATACTTCACCTTGTTGATGGGAAGCTTCCCACTGGAGTGGAAATCATCTATTAGACAGATGGCAAGCACAGCACAATATTAGTATTATATATTATTATAATATTATATATTATAATACTGTATTATTAGTATTATATTGTATTACATTATTATAATTATGTCAATAAATTAGCATAGCACAATATTAGTATTATATATTATTATATTGTATTATTAGCAGAATTATATTGTATTACATTACAATATTATTATTATATGTCAATACAATAGATTATTAGCATAGCACAATTTTAGTATTAATTATATATTATTATATTGTATTATTAGTATTATATTGTATTACATTATTATAATTATATGTCAATACAGTAAATTAGCCTAGCACAATATTCGTATTATATATTATTATATTGTATTATTAGTATTATATTGTATTACATTATTATAACTATATGTCAATACAATAAATTAGCCTAGCACAATATTTGTACTATATATTATTATATTGCATTACTATTAGTATTATATATTATTATTATTATTATTATATTTCAATACAATAGATTATTAGCATAGCACAATAGTATTATATATTATACTGTATTACTATTAGTATTATATATTACATTGTATTATTAGTATTATATTGTATTACATTACAATATTATTATTGTTATTATATGTCAATACAATAGATTACCAGCATAACACGATATTAGCATTATATATTATTATATTGTATTATTAATATTATATTGTATTACATGATTATAATTACATGCCAGTACATTAGCACAGCACAATATTAGTATTATATATTATTATATTGTATTGCTATTATATTGTATTACATTATCATTATTATCATTATCATGTCAATACAATTGATTAGCATAGCACAGTATTAGTATTATATATTATTATATTGTATTACTATTAGTATTATATTGTATTACATTACAATATTATTATTATATGTCAATACAATACATTATTAGCATAGCACAATATTAGTTTTATATATTATTATACTGTATTACTTAGTAATATATTATACTGCATTATTATTAGTATTATATTGTATTACATTATTATTATTATATGTCAATACAATACATTATTAGCAATTTTTTATTATTTTTTGCACAATATTAGTATTATATATTATTATACTGTATTACTTAGTAATATATTATACTGTATTATATTGTATTAAATTATTATTATTATGTCAATACAATACATTATTAGCATAGCACAATATTAGTATCATATATTATTATACTGTATGACTTAGTAATATATTATACTGTATTATTATTAGTATTATATTGTATTACATTATTAAGTAATATATTATACTGTATTATTAGTATTATATTGTGTTACATTATTATTATTATTATATGTCAATACAATACATTATTAGCAAAAAAATTGCACAATATTAGTATTATATATTATTGCATTGTACTATCCTATTATACTGCAATCAATATATATTGCAATTTATGTCAGAAAATTGAAACATACATATATTATACATACATATTATATTTTTATTTATATTATATTAATATTATAATATATTATATTATTATATTATATATTATATTTTATATTATATTATTATATTTTATTATATATTATATTATATATAATACAATACAATACAATACTATATTATATTATTTTATATTATATTATAATATAATAATATAATATAATATTTTATATTATATTATATTATATTATATTATATTATATTATATTATATTATATTATATTATATTATATTATATTATATTATATTATATTATATTATATTATATTATATTATATTATATTTCAAGGGAGTGGGAAAGGTTGAACTTCCTCACTAAATCATTTTCTCACTATACTGTATTGATTTGAAACACATGTCTATGCTGCGATTGGCTGCGACGCCCGCCCGTCAATCTCAAAAGGCGGGCTCCGGGAGAATATCCCCGACGCTGATTGGCGGACAAGTCAGGGAATGGGAAAGAGGGGGAAAGAGAAGGCGAGGGCGCGGGTGTGCGCATGCGCGGCCATGGCCGGCCCAGACTGGAGGAAGCGGGAGGGGGGAAAGCGAGGGCGCGGGTGTACGCATGCGCGGCCATGGCCGGCCCAGACTGGAGGAAGCGAGCGCTGCCGATGCTGGCGGGGGCGGCGCTGGGGTCCGCGCTCGCCGCCGAGGTCCTAGCGCTATTGCTGCTGCGGCGTCGGGGGCGCGCCGAGGAGCGGTTCCCTTTCTGGACGCTGGCGGCGCTGTTGGGCTTGCTCGGGAACGCGCTGGAGGGCGCGCGCCGCTTCGTCACCGCCTCGCCCAGCACGCGCGGCGTCATGCTCGCCGGCGCGGGGCAAGGATGGGAGTAAGTGAGGGGGGCGGGGCTTCTCTTGACCACACCCTCCCCACAGGCGGCAGCCAATAGCGGAAGGGAGAGAGCAGAGGGAGGCGGGGCTAAGAAAAATGGCGGGAAAAGCAGGGAATGCCTAATTGTAAACATGGAAGACTGAGCTCTTGAACTTTTACTGCTATTCAAACTGGCACTTTAATAATAATAATAATAATAATAATAATAATAATAAATTTGTTAAGGTTCATATAGTAACAAAATATATTGTAGTATTAATATATTAATGATGTTATTATTAAGGTTCATATAGTAATATAATATAGTATTAATATATTAATGATGTTATTATTAAGGTTCATATAGTAATATAATATAGCATTAATATATTAATGATGTTACTATTAAGGTTCATATAGTAATATAATATAGCATTAATATATTAATGATGTTACTATTAAGGTTCATATAGTAATATAATATAGTATTAATATATTAATGATGTTATTATTAAGGTTCATATAGTAATATAATATAGTATTAATATATTAATGATGTTACTATTAAGGTTCATATAGTAATATAATATAGCATTAATATATTAATGATGTTACTATTAAGGTTCATATAGTAATATAATATAGTATTAATATATTAATGATTAATGATGTTATTATTAAGGTTCATATAGTAATATAATATAGTATTAATATATTAATGATGTTACTATTAAGGTTCATATAGTAATATAATATAGTATTAATATATTAATGATGTTACTATTAAGGTTCATATAGTAATATAATATAGTATTAATATATTAATGATGTTATTATTAAGGTTCATATAGTAATATAATATAGTATTAATATATTAATGATGTTACTATTAAGGTTCATATAGTAATATAATATAGTATTAATATATTAATGATGTTACTATTAAGGTTCATATAGTAATATAATATAGTATTAATATATTAATGATGTTATTATTAAGGTTCATATAGTAATATAATATAGTATTAATATATTAATGATGTTACTATTAAGGTTCATATAGTAATATAATATAGTATTAATATATTAATGATGTTATTATTAAGGTTCATATAGTAATATAATATAGCATTAATATATTAATGATGTTACTATTAAGGTTCATATAGTAATATAATATAGCATTAATATATTAATGATGTTACTATTAAGGTTCATATAGTAATATAATATAGTATTAATATATTAATGATGTTATTATTAAGGTTCATATAGTAATATAATATAGTATTAATATATTAATGATGTTACTATTAAGGTTCATATAGTAATATAATATAGCATTAATATATTAATGATGTTACTATTAAGGTTCATATAGTAATATAATATAGTATTAATATATTAATGATTAATGATGTTATTATTAAGGTTCATATAGTAATATAATATAGTATTAATATATTAATGATGTTATTATTAAGATTCATATAGTAATATAATATAGTATTAATATATTAATGATGTTACTATTAAGGTTCATATAGTAATATAATATAGTATTAATATATTAATGATGTTATTAAGGTTCATATAGTAATATAATATATTATAGTATTAATCTATTAATGATGTTCTGTGCTAATAATATTCTTATATCTATATAAATAAAAATGTAATCTTCGTTTGTGGGATTAACAGAACTCAAAAACCACTGGACGAAATGACACCAAATTTGGACACAAGACACCTAACAACCCAATGTATGTCCTTCACTCAAAAAATTGATTTTGTCATTTGGGAGTTGTAGTTGCTGGGATTTATAGTTCACCTACAATCAAAGAGCATTCTGAACCCCACCAACGATGGAATTGAACCAAACTTGGCACCCAGTTCTCCCATGACCAACAGAAAATACTGGAAGTGTTTGGTGGGCAGTGTCCTTTGGTTTTGGAGTTGTAGTTCACCTATAACCACAGATCACTGTGGACTCAAACAATGATGGATCTAGGTTCTTGTGGGTTTTTTCGGGCTATAGGGCCATGTTCTAAAGGCATTTCTCCTGACGTTTCGCCTGCATCTATGGCAAGCATCCTCAGAGGTAGTGAGGTCACATCACTACCTCTGAGGATGCTTGCCATAGATGCAGGCGAAACGTCAGGAGAAATGCCTCTAGAACATGGCCCTATAGCCCGAAAAAAACCACAAGAACCTAGTGATTCCAGCCATGAAAGCCTTCGACAATACAATGATGGATCTGGACCAAACTCTACACGAATACTCAATATGCCCAAATGTGAACACTGGTAGAGTTTGGGGGAAATAGAATCTTGACATTTGGGAGTTGTAGTGAAATGGCAGGGAATAGGTTTTGAGGAAAGGAGAGACAAAGAGAGATCCTCAGATCTGAAAAGCACGGATTTATTTATCCATCTGGGGCCCTGGAGTGGACTAGCGTCCCAAAAACAAACCAGAGCAAATGATAGAGGCATTGACTGTGCCTTTTATAGATTCCAGGTTCAAGCAAACGAAGAACATGCTAGTACATACATTAACGTCATTCCTATGTCATCTTAGCATCAAAGAAATATCAAGTTCTAACTTCCAACATGCAAAAAGGCATGTTTGTGTATTTCTAGGAGCAGCCTGCTCCTAGAAATATGAAATGCAAAGGAAAAACGAAATGCAAAGATACAGAATGGGGGACAATGCCTGGCTCGAGAGCAGTACGTGTGAAAAAGATCTTGGAGTCCTCGTGGACAACAAGTTAAACATGAGCCAGGAATGTGACGTGGCGGCAAAAAAGCCAATGGGATTTTGGCCTGCATCAATAGGAGCCTAGTGTCTAGATCTAAGGAAGTCATGCTACCCCTCTATTCTGCTTTGGTTAGACCACACCTGGAATATTGTGTCCAATTCTGGGCATCACAATTCAAGAAAGATATTGACAAGCTGGAATGTATCCAGAGGAGGGCGACTAAAATGATAAGGGGTCTGGAGAACAAGCCCTATGAGGAGCGGCTTAAGGAGCTGGGCATGTTTAGCCTGAAGAAGAGAAGGCTGAGAGGGGATATGATAGCCATGTATAAATATGTGAGAGGAAGCCACAGGGAGGAGGGAGCAAGCTTGTTTTCTGCTTCCCTGGAGACTAGGACGCGGAACAATGGCTTCAAACTACAAGAGAGGAGATTCCATCTGAACATGAGGAAGAACTTCCTGACTGTGAGAGCCGTTCAGCAGTGGAACTCTCTGCCCCGGAGTGTGGTGGAGGCTCCTTCTTTGGAAGCTTTTAAACAGAGGCTGGATGGCCATCTGTCAGGGGTGATCTGAATGCAATATTCCTGCTTCTTGGCAGAATGGGGTTGGACTGGATGGCCCAGGAGGTCTCTTCCAACTCTTTGATTCTATGATTCTATGATCACTCAAGGGGCCCACTTTGACTTGTCAGGAGGGAGGGGGGATTGGCTCCTTCCTTAGAGCCTAGTTGTACCAGCTAGGACGGGCTTATCTCCTGGAATGTAGAGATAACATGCCCCCTTTCTCCTTCCTCCTGCCATGCCTTGGACACAGATCTCCTTCGGCATTCTTTCTACACACAGAGAGAACTAGATTTTTCTATATTTCAGTAATTGAAAAATACATACAATTTTATGCATGTCAATATCTATTTTTCCAATATCTCCTTATTTATTTATTTATTTATTTATTATTAAATTTATTATTTTATTTATTTATTATTAATATTTCAGTATTATGTATTTATTACCTGCCAGGAACAGGCAGGTTAAGATTCACAGTGTTATGTTGACTGAGGAGGCTGGCTTTCATGGCAGCTTTTCTCCCTCCCTTCCAGTTACTGCTATTCCTGCCAGTCCCACGTTCCTCCCCGCTGCGGCCACTGCTTCTCCTGCAACGTCTGCATCCTGCGCCGTGACCACCACTGCACTTTGCTGGGCCAGTGCCTGGGCTACCAGAACTACCGCTACTTCCTCGGCCTGCTGCTCCACGGCGCCATCCTCCTCCTGTGTTGTGCCGTTCTCAATGCCGACGTGGTGTGGACTCTACTGCAGGAGAAACCCCTGGCCCAGACGGTGCTCCTGCTGATCTTGCCGTGGCTGATGCTGCTGACTGGTAAGGCCTCAAAAGAGCTGCTTGTGTCTATTGCAGGGTTTCTCAACCTTCCTAATGCCGTGATCTCTTCATACAGTTCCTCATGTGGTGGTGACCCCCAACCACAACACTACTTTTGTTGCTACTTCATAACTGCAATTTTGCTACTGTTACGAATCGTAATGTAAATATCTGATATACAGGATGTATCTTCATTCACTGGACCAAATTCACTGGACAAATACCCGGTACATCCAAATTTGAATACTGGTGGGTTCGGGGGGAGGGTGCATTTTGGAGTTGTAATTCCTGGGATATAAAGTTCACCTACAAGCAAAGAGGATTCTGAACTCCACCAAGGATGGAGTTGAACCGACCTTGACAAACAGAACTCCCATGACCAACAGAAAATACTGGAAGGTTTTGGTGGGTGGGCATTGACCTTGAATTTTGGAGTTGTAGTTCACCTACATCCAGAGAGCACTGTGTACTCAAATAATGATGGATCTGGACCAAACGTGACACGGATACTCAATATGCCCAAATATGAACACTGGTGGAGTTTGAGGAAAATAGATCTTGGCATTTTGGAGTTGTAGTGGCTGGGATTTATAGTTCACCAACAATCAAAGAGCATCCTGAACCAAATTGGGCCAAACTTCCCACATAGAACCCCCATGACCAGCAGAAAATACTGTGTTTTCTGATGGTCTTTGGCGACCCCTCTGACATCCTCTCACGACCCCCAGGTTGAGAAACACTGGTCTATTGCTTATGTACCTTGTCAGCCTGAGAACATGTTAACATTTCTTTGAACTAATTAACAACAACAACAACAACAACAATAATAAACTATTATACCCCACCACCATCTCCCCAAGGGGACTTGGGGCAGCTTACATGAGGCCAAGCCCAGTAATACAGTAAAACAATATACAACAAAACACAGCTAAAATAAAATAAAATAAAATAAAATACAAACCCATTTTAAACACATCAACAATATAAAATCACAACATTTAAAACACACAAATTGATCACATTGGGCGGGCCGATTTGAATAGATAAAAAATTTAAAACACTGGTGAGACAATGATGTAATGTGTCTGGACAACTACAATATAGACCAGGCATGGGCAAACTTCAGCCCTCTGGGTGTTTTGGACTTCAACTCCCACAATTCCTAACAGCCTGTGGGTAATAAATGAAATTATTATTATTATTATTATTATTATTATTATTATTACTAGCCGTCCCCTGCCACGCGTTGCTGTGGCCCACATGGGGTTCTGTGTGGGAGGTTTGGCCCAATGCTATCATTGGTGGAGTTCAGAATGCTCTGTGATTGTAGGTGAACTATAAATCCCAGCAACTACAACTCCCAAATATCAAGATTCTGTTTTTGTTCATTCGTTCAGTCGTCTCCGACTCTTCGTGACCTCATGGACAGCCCACGCCAGAGCTCCCTGTCGGCCGTCACCACCCCCAGCTCCTCAAGGTCAGTCCAGTCACTTCAAGGATGCCATCCATCCATCTTGCCCTTGGTCGGCCCCTCTTCCTTTTGCCTTCCACTTTCCCCAGCATAATTGTCTTCTCTAGGCTTTCCTGTCTCCTCATGATGTGGCCAAAGTACTTCCACTTTGTCTCTAGTATCTTTCCCTCCAGTGAGCAGTCGGGCTTTATTTCCTGGAGGATGGACTGGTTGGATCTTCTCGCAGTCCAAGGCACTCTCAGAACTTTCCTCCAACACCACAGCTCAAAAGCATCGATCTTACTTCGCTCAGCCTTCCCTAAGGTCCAGCTCTCACATCCGTAGGTGACTACAGGGAATACCATGGCTTTGACTAGGCGGATCTTTGTTGCCAGTCTGATGTCTCTACTCTTTACTATTTTATCGAGATTGGACATTGCTCTCCTCCCAAGAAGGAAGCGTCTTCTGATTTCCTGGCCACAGTCTGCATCTGCAGTAATCTTTGCGCCTAGAAATACAAAGTCTGTCACGGCCTCCACATTTTCTCCCTCTATTTTCCAGTTGTCAATCATTCTTGTTGCCATAATCTTGGTTTTTTTGACGTTTAGCTGCAACCCGGCTTTTGCGCTTTCTTCTTTCACCTTGATTAGAAGGCTCCTCAGCTACTCCTCGCTTTCGGCCATCAGAGTGGTGTCATCTGCATATCTGAGGTTGTTAATGTTTCTTCCAGCAATTTTCACCCCAGCTTTGCATTCATCAAGCCCCGCACATCGCATGATGTGTTCTGCATACAAGTTAAAAAGGTTGGGTGAGAGGATGCAGCTTTGCCGTACGCCTTTCCCAATCTTGAACCAGTCTGTTGTTCCGTGGTCAGTTCTGACTGTTGCTACTTGGTCCTTGTACAGATTCCTCAGGAGAGAGACAAGGTGGCTTGGAATGCCCATCCCACTAAGAACTTGCCACAATTTATTATGATTCACACAGTCAAAGGCTTTAGAATAGTCAATGAAGCAGAAGTAGATGTTTTTCTGAAACTCCCTGCCTTTCTCCATTATCCAGCGGATATTGGCAATTTGGTCTCTCGTTCATCTACCTTTTCTAAACCCAGCTTGAACATCTGGCAACTCTCGCTCCATGTATTGCTGGAGTCTTCCTTGCAGGATCTTGAGCATTACCTTACTGGCATGAGAAATAAGGGCCACTGTACGGAAGTTTGAGCAGTCTTTAGCATTTCCCTTTTTTGGTATGGGGATATAAATTGATTTTTTCCAGTCTGATGGCCATTCTTGTGTTTTCCATATTTGCTGGCATATGGCATGCATCACCTTGACAGCATCATCTTTTAAGATTTTAAACAGTTCAGCTGGGATCCCGTTGTCTCCTGCTGCCTTGTTGTTAGCAATGCTTCTTAAGGCCCATTCAACTTCACTCCTCAGGATGTCTGGTTCTAATTCATTCACCACACCGTCAAAACTATCCTCAATATTATTATCCTTCCTATACAGATCTTCTGTATAGTCTCGCCACCTTCTCTTGATCTCTTCAGCTTCTGTTAGGTCCCTGCCATCTTTGTTTCTTATCATACCAATTTTTGCCTGAAATTTACCTCCAATGTTTCTAATTTTCTGGAAGAGGTCTCTTGTCCTTCCTATTCTGTTGTCTTCTTCCACTTCCATGCATTGCTTATTTAAAAATAGTTCCTTATCTCTTCTGGCTAACCTCTGGAATTCCGCATTTAACTGGGCATATCTCCCCTTATCCCTGTTTCCTTTTGCTTTCCTCCTTTCTTGGGCTACTTCCAGTGTCTCAGCAGACAACCATTTTGCCTTCTTGGTTTTCTTTTTCTTTGGGACATATTTT